AAAAAAAAAAAAAAAAGGTCTAAAGTTTTCTTTAATTATTATGTCTTTGTCTGATTTTAGTATTAGCTTCATGATGGCCTCACCAAATGCATTACAAAGTATGTCCTTAGCTTCTGTTTCCTGAAATAGATTATAAATAATTGGTGTAATTTCTTACCGAAATGTTTGGTAGAATTCACCAGGGAACCCATCTGGGCCTGGTGATTTCTGTTTTGAGCAGTATGATTGATTCAATTTCTTTAATAAATATAGGCCTATTCAAAATATTTCTTGTTGTGTAAGCTTTGGTAAATTGTGTCTTTCAAAATAAATCGGTCCATTTCACCTAGGATATCAAATTTCTGGGCATAGAATTGTTTACAATATTCTCTTATTATCCTTTTAATGTCTGCGGGATCAGTAGAAACAGCCCCTCTTTCATTTTTGATACTAATAGCTTATATCTTCTCTTTTTTTTTTTTTTTTGAGACAGTCTTGCCCTGTCACCCAGGCTGGAGTGCAATGGCGCAATCTCAGCTCACTGCAACTTCCGCCTCCCAGGTTCAAGTGATTCTCCTGCCTCAGCCCCCAAGTAGCTGGGATTACAGGCGCCCACCACCATACCCAGCTAATTTTTGTATTTTTAATAGAGATGGGGTTTCACCATGTTAGCCAGGCTGGTCTTGAACTCCTGGCCTCAGGTGACCCATCCACCTCAGCCTCCCAAAGTGCTGGGATTACAGGCGTGAGCTACTGCACCCAGCCTTCTCTTTTTTCTTAATGTAGCTAAATGTTTATCAGTTTTATTGATCTCACAAAGAACCAGCTTTTGCTTTTGCTGATTTTCTCTATCGATTTGCTATTGTCAATTTCCCTGATTTCTGCTCTAATTTTTATTACTGCTTTTCTTCTGCTTACTTTGGATTAAATTTGCTCTTCTTTCGATAATTTCCTAAAGTAGAGCTTAGATTAATTTTAAATTTTCTTCTTAAGCATTCAATGAAGCCTTGAGTGCTTATTTAAGCAAGACTTCCCTGAAGCCTTACTTCCTTGCATCCCACACATTTTTATAAGTTTGTATCAGCATTTCTTTAAGCTCACTGATTTCTTCCCCTGCCACTTCAAGCCTATTGATGAACTCATCAAAAGCATTCTTCATTTCTGTTATACTATCTTTGATTTGTAGCATTTCCTTTTGATTCTTAGTTTCCATCTCTCTGCTTACATCTGTTCTTGCATGTTGTCCATGTTTTCCACTACAGCCCTTAGTATATTAAACATAGTTACTCTGAGTTCCCAGTTTGATCATTCCAACATCACAACCGCATCTCAGTCTGATTCTGATACTTGATCTGTCTCTTTAAACAGTGTTTTCTGTCTGGTATGCATTGTAATGTTTTGCTGAAAGCCACATATGATATACCAAAGTTAAAAAGAACTGAGGTAAATAGGACTTTAGTATGAAGTTTTGTTTATCTGGCTAAGAATTAGGCTTTATTTACTCACTGTTATAGCTGCAGGTGTCAGAGGCTAAAATTTCCACTGGTGTCCTTGTTTTTCATCTCTCCTGCTACATTCAGGTTTCCCTGCAGACCTCTTAAATAAGGTCTGAGACATGTAGTCCTTTCAGTTGTATTCTCATTATTCAAGCACCCCACTGATGTGGTGGTAATGTGTGAAGGGAGGGGAAGCATTCTATGATCTTATGATTAGGTTTCAGTCTTAGTGAGCCTGTGTCCCTGGGCTGTGACCTTCACAGGTACTTCTCAGTTGTTGATTTTCAGTTTGCTCAGATTTTTTGTTGTGAGAACAGGAGTGACAACTTCCAAGCTCCTTACCTGACAGATCAGAAGTCTGTTTAACTTTTTAAGAAACTGCCAAACTTTTTTCCAAAGGGGTTGCAGCACTTTAAATTCCCACCAACAGTATATGAGAGTTCCAGTTACTCCATGAAGGCTGGCAGTAGGATGAAGCAAGCAAGAAGCATACGGTACAATATTTAAGGAGGTACCCACTCTCAGATTCCAGTGCCTCTCACATTTTGCTCACCTGCCTCACCTTATCCTAGAACTAGCTCCGTCTTCCACATCCTTACCAAAATTTGAAATAATGTCTGTAGATTTGGAATTACTGTTTCTGTAAATGTTTGGTAGAATTCTCCAGTGAAGCCATGTGGACCTGAGCTTTCTTTGTGGAAAGGTATTTAACTATACATCAATGTAACAAATATAAAGTTATTTCAGATTTTCTATTTCTTTTGTTTTGTTTTTTGAGATGGAGTCTTGCTATCGCCCAGGCTGGAGTGCAATGCCTCGATCTCAGCTCACTGCAACCTCCACCTCCCAGGTTCATGCGATTCTTTTGCCTCAGCCTCCCGAGTAGCTGGGACTACAGGTGCACACCACCATGCCCGGCTAATTTTTGTACTTTTAGTAGAGACGGAGTTTCACAATGTTGGCCAGGCTGGTCTCGAACTCCTGACCTCAGGTGATGTGCCCACCATGGCCTCCCAAAGTGTGGGGATTATAGGCATGAGCCACCATGCCCAGCCAGATTATCTATTTTTTCTCAAAAGATATTTGGTATTTTGTGTCATTCAAGAAATCTGTAAATTCATTTAAGCTGCTGAATTTATTGGCACAAAGTTATTCATAATATTTCATTATTAGGCTTTTAATCTCTGTAGAATCTGTAGTGATACCACCTTTCTTATTCTTGTTATTGGTGACTTGTATCTTCTCTTTTTTTCCTAATCAGTATTGCCAGAGGCTTATCAAGTTTATCTTCTCAAAGAATCAGCTTTTGGTTTCACTAATTTTCTCTATTGTTCTCTGATTTTGACTTTGATGTTTATTCTTTCTTTTATCTGTTTAATTTTTTTTTTTTTTGGAGACAGTGTCTTGCTCTGTCACCCAGGCTGGAATGCAATGGTGCAATCTCGGCTCACTGCAACCTCCACCACCCAGTTTCAAGTGATTCTCCCACTTCAGCCTCCCGAGTAGCTAGGATTACAGGCACTTGCCATCATGCCTGGCTAATTTTTTTGTATTTTTATAGAGATGGAGTTTCGCCATGTTGGCAAGGCTGGTCTTGAACTCCTGACCTCAGGTGATCCGCCCACCTTGTCCTCCCAAAGTGCTGGGATTACAGGCGTGAGCCACTGTGCCTGGCCATTTTTCCAGCTTCTTAAGGTGTAAGCTGAGGTCACTGATTTGAAATCATTATTCTTTCAATAATATATGCATTCAGTGCTACCAATTTCTCCCTAAGTGCTAACTGAGCATCACCCCACAAATCCTGATATGTTGTGTTTTCATTTCCATTCAGTTCAAACTACCTTCTGATTTTTCTTTCTTCTTTGACTCACATTTTATTTAGAAGTATAAAGTTCTGGTTTCCAAATATCTGTGGATTTTCCACCAACCTTTCCATTATTAATTTCTATTTTAATTATACTGTGTTCAGAGAGCATACCGTGTATGAGGTGAAGTCTTCCAAATGTATTAAAATTTGTTTTCAAACCTAGAATATAGTCTATGTCCATAAATGTTTCATGAACACTTGGAAAAAAAAGTATATTCTTCTATGTTATATGGAGTGCTCTTTCAAGTCAGGCCAGGTTGGTTAATGGTTCAAGTCTATTAAAATCTCACTGATACTCTGCTTGTCCCATCATTTATTGAAAGAGTATTCGAAATCTCCACAATTATGAATAGCTACTTTGCCATAAAGTTCTCAGCTTCTGCCTCACATGTTTTGAAGCATATTAGGGGCAAAAATGTTTAAAACTATTATGTCTTCTTGATTAACTGACCCTTTTATCATTATAAAATAACATTCTTTATACATATTAATAGTTTTTGCTCTGAAATCTACTTTGTTATTAATATAGCCATTTCTGCTTTCTTTCGACTACTGTTAAGCATAGTATATATTTTTTCATCCTTTTAAATGTTTTTTTCTTTCTATTCAAAGTATGTTTCTTATATACAGCATATAATTGGGTCATCAAATCTCACAATCTCTACCTTTTAATTGGGATGCTTAAACTATTTAGATTTCATGTAATTAGTGATATAATTAGGCTTAAGATTATCATCTTGAAATTTATTTTATGTCCTATCCATTCTTTCTTTTTTTCTTTTTATGCCTTTGTTTGGATTGAGAATTTTTGAAATTCCATTTCTCTCTTCCATTATTAGCTGTAATTCTTTGTTTTGCTATTTTAGTGGTTGCTTTAGGGTTTATTGTTAAACCCCTTGCTAGAAACATAAGCTTTGTAAGGGAGGGAATTGATGTCAGTTTTGTTCTCTGCTGTATCCTCATGTTTAGAAGACTACCTGACACATGGAAGACATTCATTAAATATTTGATCAATACACAAATAGAAAAACCAAATTATAAGTTACAAAGGCATATTAATGTTCATCCACTTAACAATCACTAAGATCTAATCACTGAAAACAGTTTTTGTGTTCTGTTTTCAATGATCATATCTAAGTGATTGTTAATATGGCAATATATACATACAAAGGCAAACAAAATATACAGGTTCTGTATAAAAATATTTGATAGTAATAAAAATGAACCAGATGCTATATAGTTATACATTATTAATGTTAATACAGCCATATTCAAAAAAGTGCAAATTAAGTAAAATAAAACCAGCGAAATTCAAATTAGGCTTGCTAATGAAAAAAGTATAAAAAGGAATGGTTATAAAAATATAATATCCCTTGTACCACTTTAATGATTTTAATTATATTGATAACAGGCAATAACTAATAATCTAAAAATGAATTGATAGACCATCTAAAACTCTGTACTATACTCAGTCCTTGCTCTCAGACTGGGCTTAAAGTAACATATTAAGTTATAATTATGTCTGGAGATATTATAACTATCTGCTAGAGCTAGGGTGCTCTATAGAATTGTATGCAGTGAATCAGACAAAGAAACAGTAATATTCTGCCAATTTCTCAAACCTCACAAATCATCTGGACTTCATAGGTCTAATAGAATCATTTTCTCCTTGGCAAGTAGGGTAGGTTTCATGTTGAATCTTAGCATTATTTGGAATGTGTAATTCTGAAAAATCACTACTGTAAGAGAAATGTATTAAAATATATTTAAGCAAAGAATTAAATGCAACCCAGGACAGTATAATTTGTATGAACAAAAAGAATACTATAGGTTCATCAAACATTACTGGTCAAAAATCTATAATAAAGCATACTAAAAATATTTTTATTACTTTTGACCTGACGATAACTAGCCAAGATTAGATATTACCTGAGAAATTTCCTGTTGATATACTGTAAAATGTTCCTTGCTGATCTGTGGGAGGTAGAATGAAGGTATGACTTCAGTATCCACAAAGTTCAATCCCCATGTTTTTGTGAAGAAGTCAGATTCTCTTTTTGCTAATCTAGGATCATTTAATGCTGCTGGGAGATTTACTTTGGAATGATATACAGTCCATCTATGTTGATCTGTAACTAGAGATGGGGCAACATATAAACTATGTGAATCACCTGCAAAAAGTAAACAAGAGAACTCTGTAAATGCTGTAAAGTTGGTTCTATGTTTGAAAGTACACACTAGAAAACTAAAAATGCATAGATTTCATCTTACGCAAACCAACTAATCTTCCACAGTAAATGATTTAATAAAAATCAATCTGATTGAATAATCTTCAGCTGCCAGCATCAATTACTAAGGCTTTGAAAAACATGCACAAGATTAAAAGATATGCAAAATTTGAGAGTTATAGTTGCAGGGTGGAGTGAATAGTCAAAGTCTTTCATGAATTCCTTTCCTTAATGTACAATTACTCTATCTCTTTTTTTTTAACATCAGAACTATGCTACCTTCTATTATAAATTTTCTATCCTTTAATACCCCACTGTTTTTTAGAGGTAGGCCTCTTTTCTATTATATCATGGCAGGTCCTCCTGGATAAAATATCCTTCGGCTTATAATTAGGTGATATAAATGTTGCTGTGGCAGTAATCATACAAGAAGGAAAAATATATACTCTATTCTCATTATCAGTAGTATTTTTGTTCTATAAAGTTATTGTGAATATGGAATTAGCAAATATTGAACTATTGCTTATAGGGAAACTGAAGAGTTAGGTTCCTGTGAGCCTTTGGTCACAATAATTTCATCAACCAATCAATACATAACCTTGTTTTGTATGTTTAAAGATGCCTTATTCAGTATACATTATTGATTCACTAACACTGAACTTGTGGCTAACAGCACTGTAATTTATGCCTGAATGAAGCTCACACAACACATGTATATTCTCCGTAAGGGACATCATAGCCTTCTTGCACTTAGGAACTCCAGATAGCATTTTAGCACTATGCTTAAGGGCAATTTAAACAGCAAAATCACCAAGCTCCAAACATGTGGCACCAAGTAAAAACAGACCACAAAAAGAACACTAGTTTATAGTATGAGAGCTGAAACAAGAAGGCATAGCTTTGCCTTGTTCAACTTCAGCTGGGAATGCGTGTGTCAGGTATTTCAAATCTTTCGCTTCTCCGCACATGACTGCAAATTACCACAAATGTGCCACAAGTAGTGATTTGGGGATTATGAATAAATTTTAAGGAGTCAGGAGAATTTGCAAATACATAATATGCAAATGATGAGGGCTGACTGTACCATGTTTTAAGCAGTTTTCAATCTGTACCTTCATCTTCAACACTTCTTCAGTTTATATAAGTAAAGCATGAAATACATGTAAAAAACTATATTCCAATTTCCCAATCATTTCCAAATGATTTTTTTTTTTTTGAGATAGAGTCTCACTCTGTCACCCAAGCTGGAGTGCACTACAACCTCCACTTCCCAGGTTCAAGTGATTCTCCTGCCTCAGCCTCCCAAGTAGCTGGGATTACAGGCACATGCCACCACACCCAACTAATTTTTTATGTTTTTGGTAGAGATGGGGTTTCACCATGTTGGCCAGGCTGGTGTTGAACTCCTGACCTCAAGTGATCTGCCTGCCTTGGCCTCCCAAAGTGCTGGGATTACAGGCATGAGCCACCATGCCTGGCCCCAAATGATTTTTTTTTTTTTTTTTTTTTTGAGATGGAGTCTGGCTCTGTTGCCCAGGTTGGAGTGCAGTGGCGCGATCTCAGCTCACTGCATGCTCCACCTCCCGGGTTCACGCCATTCTCCTGCCTCAGCCTCCCAAGTAGCTGGGACTACAGGCGCCCGCCACCACGCCTGGCTAATTTTTTGTATTTTCAGTAGAGATGGGGTTTCACCGTGTTAGCCAGGATGGTCTCGATCTCCTGACCTCGTGATCCGCCCGCATTGGCCTCCCAAAGTACTGGGATTACAGGTGTGAGCCACCGCGCCCAGCCCCATCAAATGATTTTTGACATCATAAAATTTACTCTTCTAACATAGGTATATAAAACCTGACTACTCATTTAAAGATAATAGAAATCATCAGTAAAACTCCTATTAAAAAAAAAAGCATTACCTGTGGGTTCCTTGGGACACACATCTGGCAGTGACGGCACAGGTCGAATGTGTTTTGACGGATCTACCTCTATTTTAAAGAAAACATCACTGCTGCTTCCTTGAGGCACTGGTGAAGAACTGTGGCTTGAAGCCATTGCATAAAATCACCACTCAACTGAAAACGAGTAAGAAATAATAATTAAGACACTTACTGCAAATCAAAATCCAACTCTAAGTATTATATATGTCACAAACTTTCTTTCAAAAACAGAAGAATTTTTCAAAATACCTCAAAGTACGCAATTTGAATATTTGCTCTTAACTGGGAAAATTGATCACAAGATTTATTTACTAAGACAGTTATTTGTCCCCATTTTTTAAAAAGTGAAACATCCTTAATCTTTTATTCAAAGTACAAAAACTACCAAGGTTGTACCCAACACATATTAAAGGTTAAAAACACTCTATTCATTCAACAAGTATACAATAGTTATGCATTATAGCAAAACAGGTAAGTGCATGGGCCTGCTTAGGTCCATATCCTATGTTTACTCACTAGTGGTGAGGAAATTTACTTAACCTTTATGTATGCATCTTTCCTCATCAGTAAAATGGAGATGAAACGAGATGTTATCTCATAAACATCCCAGTATGAATTATGAGAATGGACATAAGTAAAGCATGTAAAATAATGTTTGCCTCAAAGTTAGTATTCAGAGAGGTTACTGTCATTGTAATTATTACTATGATGTGACTGCTATATAGTAATATAATGATTTAAAAATTAACAGTAATTAAATTCTTTAAAAAGGAAGTGTCATTCTTCAAAGAGCTTGCAATTGTATTAATTAAAACAAATATATGTAAGCAAAACACAAGTTAACCTATGTCTACATTTTAAAGTAAGTATTGAAAGAATTTGTGGGGCAAGACAACATAATATAGGCTACAGTGTCAGGTAAGATTTTATAAATGAAGCAATATTGAAACTGGATACTAAAGAACATGCATTATTTTATTATTGAAGTGTTTAGAGATCACCTAGTCTAAGTTCTCTCAAAACAGTGATAAGAAAAGAAAGGCCCAGAAAGAATATGAGGTTTATTAAGTCCAAAAAAACAAAACAAAACAAAAAGCCAAATTAGAAAATCTGGTGAATAGATAAACAAGAGTAGGAAATGAGGAGCAGAGGATGGGCACAGTGGCTCATGCCGTAAATCTCAGCACTTTGGGAGGCCAAAGCAGGTGGATTGCTTGAGTCCTGGAGTTCAAGACCAGCCTGAACGACATGATGAAACCTCGTACCTACAAAAATTATAAAAATTAGCTGGACGTTGTGGTGCATGCCTGCAGTCCAGTTACTTGGAAGGCTAAGGTGAGAGGATCGCTTGAGCCTAGGAGGTAGAGGTTACAGTGAGCCAAGCTCACGCCACTATACTCCAGCCTGGGCAACAGGGTGAGACCTCGTCTCAAACGAACAAACAATAAATAAAAAACAAGGAGCAGAGATATGAGGCAAGAACCCGTGACAAATAGTTCGTCTGTTCTAACTTCCCTCTAGTTTGCTGGAAAACTAAAAATATGTATCTGTCTCAGTACTTTCAATGCAAAGGAAACATAACCAAATATACCATTCACTGAAACTGTAAGAAACAAGCTGCTTTAAAAATACACAAAGATTGGCCGGGCGCGGTGGCTCAAGCCTGTAATCCCAGCACTTTGGGAGGCCGAGGCGGGTGGATCACAAGGTCAGGAGATCAAGACTATCCTGGCTAACATGGTGAAACCCAGTCTCTACTAAAAAATGCAAAAAAACTAGCCGGGCGAGGTAGCGGGCGCCTGTAGTCCCAGCTACTTGGGAGGCTGAGGCAGGAGAATGGCGTGAACCCGGGAGGCGGAGCTTGCAGTGAGCTGAGATCATACCACTGCACTCCAGCCTGGGAGACACAGCGAGACTTGGTCTCAAAAAAAAAAAAAAATACACAAAGATAAACAACTTCCTCAAGGTGCTTAAACAGAAAGCCTACGATAACATGAACAAAAGTTAATGAACACTGAATATCAATCATAAGACTAAGGAAGTGACTACAGTGGAAATTGGCCTGACTAAAGTGAAATGTTTACACTGGGAAGAAGTGACAAATAAATTACATTTACACACACGCACACAGCACAGCTAAATTGTAGTTGATTCTCTAAGCAATAAGGAGACATCGGAGGTTTGGTGGCAAAAGTTCTGTGAAGAAAATGGTATTCGGGAAAATTAAAAGTCTTTGAAAGACCTCTTTAATTTACATCCACACACATTAAGTGTATGGTTGTTTCTGTATAAAAGTTTACACATATTTAATAGAGATAAACATACATATTTATCTAAAGGATAATATACATACTTATCTAAAGGGTAAGAAACACTGTACAACACAGAAACACTGTGTACGAAGTGATAAAGACAATTCTACATTTAAGATTGACCATGTTAACTTTCTCATTAATCAAACAAAATGGCTAAAAACATTTTTGAAATTTTTTTTTTAATTTTTGTGAGTACACAGTAGGTATTTATCCTTTGTATAACTATCTAATTATACTTTTAGTTATTTTAAAATGTACAATTAAAATCGCTTTTTACTCTAGTCACCCTGTTATGCTAGCAAATACTAAGTCTTATTTATTCTTTCTATTTTTCTGTACCTATTAACCACCACTACTTCTCCTCCAGGCCCCCTTCCTCAACACTTATCCTTCCAGGGCTCTGGTAACTATTGCCCTAGTTTCAATTATTTTCATTTTTAGCTCCCACAAATAAGGGAGAACATGTGAAGTTTCTCATTCTGTGCCTGGCTTACATAGTGACCTCCACTTCCATCCATCTGTTGCAAATGACAAGATCTCATCCTTTTCTATGGCTGAATAGTTCTCTATTGTGTGTATGTACCACATTTTCTTTACTCATTCATCTGTTGATGGACACTTCAGCTGTTTCCAAATCGAGGCTATTGTGAATACTGCTGCAATAAACATGGATATCTCTTCAATATACTGATTTCCTTTATTGCATATTCTTAGGAGTGGGATTGCTGGATGATACAGCTCCATTTTTAGTTTTTCGAGGAACCTCCAAACTGCTCTCCATGGTGATTGTACTAATTTACATTACCACTAACCCACTAACCGTATGAGGGTTCCCTTTTCTCCACATCTTCACAGGCATTTCTTAATGCTTGTCTTTTGGATAAATGCCATTTTAACTGGGGTGAGATATCTCATTGTACATCTGATTTGCATTTCTCTGATGATAAATACACCCATTTGCCATTTGCATGTTTTCTCTTGAGTAATACCTATTCAGATATTTTGCCCATCTTTCAATCAATGTATTGGATTTTTACCTATAAGGTTGTTTGAGCTCTCTATATATTCTTGTTATTAATCCCTTGTCAGATGGGTAGTTTGCAAATATTTTCCTCCCATTCTGTGGGATGTCTCCTCACTTTGTTGTTTCCTTTGCTGTGCAGAAGCTTTGTAACTTGAGGTGATTCCCTTTGTTCATTTTTGCTTTGGTTGCCTGTGTTTGTGGGGTATTTATTCAAGAAATCCTTGCCCACTTCAATGACCTGTACGGTTTCCCCGAGGCTTTCTTTTCATTGTTTCATAGTTTGATGTCTTAGATTTAAGTCTTGCATCCATTTTGATTTTATTTTTGTATATGGTGAGATAGGGGTCCAGTTTCATTGTTCTACCCATGGGTATCTAGTTTTCCCAGCACCATTTATTGAAGAGATTGTCCTTTTCCCCAAGACTGTCCTTTGTTAAGAATGAGATCACTGTTCATGAATGGATTTATTTCTGGGTTCTGTACTCAGTTCCACTGTTCTATGTGTATAGTTATAGGCCAATACATCGTATAATTTGAAATCACATAATGTGGTTCTTCCAATTTTCTTTTTCTTTTTTTTCTTTTTTTTTGCATAGGATAGCTTTGGCTATTCCAAGTCTTTTGTGGTTCTATACAAATTTCAAGATTGTTTTTTCTACTTCTCTGAAGAACGTAATTGGTATTTTGATAGGGAATACATTGAATCTGTAGATTGCTTTGGTTAGTATGGACATTTTAACAATATTGATTCTTCCAATCCATGAACATAGAACATCTTTCCTTTATGTGTGTGTTTGTTTTCAATTTCTTGCACCAACATTTTATAGCTTTCACTGTAGATATTGTTCACTTTTTTGGTTAACGCCTCGGATTTTATTTCTAGCTATCGTAAATGGGGTGACTTTCTTGATTTCTTTTTCACATTGTTCAGTGTTGGCATATGGAAATGCTACTTGATTTTTGTATGCTGATTTTGTATCCTGCAACTTTACTGAATTTATCACTTCTAATCATTTTTGATGAATTCTTTAGGTTTATCCAAACGTGAAATCATATCATCTACAAACAAGGACAATTTGACTTCATCCAATTTGGATGCTCTTTCTTTCTCCTGTCTGACTGCTCCAGCTAGGACTTCCAGTACTATATTGAATAACTGTAGTGAAAGTGGGCATCCTTGCTGTGTTTCAGATCTTAAAAGAAGGGCTTTCAGTTTTTCCTCATTCAGTGTGATAACAGCTATGGGTCTGTCATATATGGCTTTTACTGTTTTGAGGCATGTTCCTTCTATACCCAGTTTTGAGGGTTTTTATTATGAAAGGATGTTTAATTTTATGACATGCTTTTTCAGAATCAATTGATGTTTTTTGTCCTTCATCCCCTTGATATGATGTATCACATTTGCAAATGTTGAACTATCTGCATTCCTGAAATAAATCCCACTTGGTCATGATGAATAATATTTTCAATTGTTGTTGAATTTGGTTTGCTAGTATTTTTGTTGAAGATTTTTTGCATCAATAGTCAGAGACATGTGTTGGGGGAAGTCAGGGACCCCAAACAGAGGGACCAGCTGAAGCCATGGCAGAAGAACATAAATTGTGAAGACATTCGTTAGTTCTCCAAATTAATACTTTTATAATTTCTTACACCTGTCTTTGCTGCAATCTCTGAACATAAATTGTGAAGATTTCATGGACATTTATCACTTCCCCAATCAATACTCTTACAATTTCCTATGCCTGTCTTTAATCTCTTAATCCTGTCATCTTCGTAAACCAAGGATGTATGTCACC